GAAGGGGACATAAAGACAAGAATGTCCCGCGTCTCTTGGTTTGAGCTGTCACTCCAAAACCTGGGGGCAATGCTCCCCTGACCTTCCTATAAGCTTTAGTCGAATATCCAAATTATAGTGACTGTGGACCTTTTTTTTTAAGCCAAGAAGCGGTGTTTATTTTGGTTTTAGAAACTACAGGACACTCATTGCATCCTGGGTAGTCCTTATCTCCCCAGGCCCTCTTCGGACAGGACTTGCCTGTGTCATCAGAGCCCGTGGGCTGGGCCCTCCTCTGTCAGGTGGTCGCCCTGGCCCGGTCATCTGTGGCCAGCCTGAGAACATGCTCATGTGGCAGAGGCATAGATGTAAGAGTCTTGCCCTTGGATGGGAGAATCAAGTCCCAGAGAATAAAGGGAATGGATTGGCCAGGTGAACCAGGAGGGATTGATTGCACACCTCATAAGACGATAAGTTATCATTATTTAAATTTCACCTATAAGGAAAGAGGGCCAAAGAAGTTAAGTAACTTACACAGTCATGCAACCAGGAAGTGGCAAAGTACGGTGTTTAAAAAAAAAAAGGTCAACCTGTCTAAAACACATGCTCTGAATTACCTAAAGAGTATCTCTTAGAACGTCCCGGCTCCCCTGGAACATAGGGCTCTGCCCCTCCCTTTGGAGCAGGGTTTCCCCATGTGGGCGATACTGCCCCTTGTGGAGGCGCTGGGACACCGGCCTGGTCCAAGGTGGCTGTTAAAGCCGGCACTTTACTCTGGGTTAGTGACGGTTGTACAAAAGTTTTTAATTGTCAGGGGGTTAAGGTTGTTTTGTTTTGTTTTTTTCTGAAAATGAGGTGGTAGACCAGATAAATTTGGAAACCTATACTTTAAAGCAAGTTTCCTCCTGCTCTAGAAGAATCCGTATCACTAAACGCGACCGTGAAGAAGATAGATGAACCGCACTCAACCTGCCTGCATTGTTTTCCTCTCTCCCTCATGGAAGTGGAGTAAAAATGTGCTAAGCAGCATCTGGTTGTCACGTCAAGAATGCTGGTAGCGTATCAGTTACCTGTTGGGCTGCTAACTGTTAGGGTGGCCGTTTGGACCCTCCGGCCACTGCATGGGAGATGAGGCTTCCTTCTCCCATGCAGGATTACAGTCTTGGACACGCACAGGGGCTGTTATACCCCATTGCTCTGAGTCAGCACTGAGTGGTCAAGTCAGGAGATTGGAGGTGTCAGGTGAGGAGTCCTGACAAGGCCTAGTAGAGTCTTTGGAGCCTCTTTTTTTTCTTTTCGATAATTCTACCAAGTAATTCATCCTAAATGATTTTATTCTCAAATGCAAAATCAAAGAGGATAAATAATAACCCCAAGATCTTTTCTGGAGTAAGAG